CCCCCCCCTGGACCCTCCCCACCCCTTGTGCTGGCTTCCACTAGTGCCCAAAGACAGCCAACATCAGGGGACTTTTTCCATTGTAAAGACATATTCAAGATGGCAATGCGTTGAAATAGTTTTAGCTTTACATTTTTAAAATATAAGATTTGGAAAATGCAGGTGCAATTTGATCATGCTGAATTTAATTTGTTCCCCATACTCCTTGAAGGAAAAAAGTAGATTAAAATGAGTGCAGTATAATATTTTGGTCACTGTGAGCACTTAGGTTTGACCTGGTAAGATGACAAAGAGATGGAGCAACATCAGTCACTTCTTTTAACAGCAAAAGAAGCTGCCGAGGTTGAGACAACACATGAAATTCAAGCTATTATGATTTCAGGAATAAAATAAGGACTTAGAAAGGTATACATAGTCCTTTATGTAGTTGGAAATGAAGTTGTTTCAAAATATAGCTAATAAAACAATATTCTAACTACCTAGGTACATTCTAAGAAATTTCCTTGGCCCATAGGAACTATCACCTGTAAGTTTACCTATCAGGAGGACGCAGAGTGACATTACATCACACTGTGGTTGGGTCATACCTCATTAGCATTTGCTACCATGGTTTTCATGCCCCAGCCATCGGCAGCCCAGCGGTCAGCTACTTCCTTTTCGGAACAGATGATGAAATTATCAAAGTAGATATCAGAGGTCATGGACCAAAGCTCTAAACCAAGGGCGCGGAAAGGTGTCAGAAGAAATGGATGATCATCCTCAAAATAATCTGGATTAGGGATTTTTCGAGGACTCCAGATTCCCTGGGGGGAAAGCAATTCACACATAAAAGTAACTGCTGGAGAAAATGAGCAATGCTAATGACTTGTGGGGAGAAAAGAGAAAACTTGAACTGATATTCATTCATAATCATTCACTGGGAACAAACCCCTAATTCTTCTCACTCTCTACACAATATTCTAATTCTCTATGAATAATCTGCCTTGAAATTGCAAAAAAGGTAAAGTAACATGCACAGCAGAGTAACTGAATTTCACAGGTGATACTATTTTAAATTAACCGTATGATTTTGTAAAGTTATTCAAGTTTAAAAAAACAAAGTCACCACCATTGAGTTGATTCTGGCTCATAGCAACCCTGTAGACAGGGCAGCACTACCCTGTGGGTTTCTACAACTAACAGTAGACAGGCGTAGAAAGCGTCATCTTTTTCCCATGGCTGGAAGGTTCGAAGTGGTGACTTTGCAGTTAGGTGTCATTAATATTGCCTGAGTCAAAAATGTATGGCAAAATCAGAGTCACTCATTTTAACATATACCCAGGGCCATTATCAACTAATCAGAACTACTCAACCTGAAAGTTACACTGTTGTTTAAATTATCAAACGGCCAATGAAATCAAAGAGCTTCAACTCACACTGCCCTCAATATAGCTACCCTGTGCCAAGTGTGTGCCAGCTGCTAGAGACGCTGTGATCAAGCCTGACATCGTCCCTTTGCTGTGGAGGTTAAAGTTTAATGAAGGGGATCTGGGTGCAAACCCTACAAGATCAGCAACAGCAGCTAACACCACTCACCTCACCAAAGAGGAGCGGCCCCAGCCATTATATTCTCACTGCCACTGAGTAGATGCCAACTCAAAATGACCTCCGAGGACAGGGTAGAACTGCCCCCTGCGGGTTTCTGGGAGTGTAACTCTTTACAGGAGTAGAAAGCCCTGTCTTGCTCCCATCATATTAGGGGTGAGTTGATGAAATGTTTGACCATATATAGCAGGCTAATTTTTAAGTGGATCACTTTGCATGGCCTGCGAATGAAGTTATAAATATCAAAATGGTCCTTGGCAGAAAAAAGGTTCCTCATACCCGCATTAGATAAAAAAGCTGCCAAAACAAACATTTTAAAATATTTGTAATAAATACAATGAAGAAAAGGTATTTTATTAAGTAATTAGAATATATAAATGTGTGTATCTAGGATATAAGGTTGGAAAGATCAATGAAAGATTAAAAAGATAAAATTATTAGATAACAAAGGGACTTATAAAATAAAAAGCTAGGTACTCTCAAAAAGATGGCATGTATATAAAAAATATTTTAATAATAAACACGTTAAGGGCCTTAATTACTAGTATGCCCAATGTGGGCCATCTTGATCAGAATTCATTACATTTACTTCTAAAATATAGCTTTCTTCGGAAGTAATCATTAATTGGTGATTAGGGAAGAAAATAATATGAAATGATTTCACTTTAAGTTTGTAAGTTTATTCCCCTGGAAAATTAATTAAAGAATGCTTTACTTTTAAAATTTATTTCAAAATATATAGCTATATAGATAGAGATAGAGATATATAGGTATACACACATACCCACACACATACATATGAGGGGGTGCCCCAAAAAACCGGAATTGTGCTGGGCAGAGCAGAACTTTCGTAATATGCATTTTTCCTGCTAAGCGAGCATGAAGCAACTCGCTCTGAGGTAGTGCAGCCAGTGGTGTCACCTGGGAGGGTTCTCTCTGGTCGCAGTGAATTTTTTGTAAAAGCATTTTCACTTGAATCTCATTTCTTTGTGATGGCCTATTTAAGAGAATAGGGCGCAGCTGTGAAATTTTGGTCCCTGCTTGAGAAAAATGCTGCAGAAACTGTTGTGATGTTGAACACAGCTTACAAGGACAGCGCTATGGGAAAACAAGCGTATGACTGGTTTTCTCATTTCAAAAAAAGGGAAATGTTGATTGATGACAAACCTCGTTCTGGACATCCGTCAACTTCCCAAACAGATGAAAATGTTGACTCGTAGTACATTTGGAGTTCATTTCACCAGGTCAGACTGTGAACCAAGCTTTCTATTCATGGGTTCTGAAAAGATTGCGTAAGAGTGTGTGACAAAAAAAGGCCTGATTTGTGGCAGACTGGGTACTGATTTTGTCACCACAACAATGCAGCTGCTCACACAGCCATATCAGTGCACCAGTTTTTGGCAATAAACAGCATGCCTCTCTTGCCCCCATGCACCTTACTCACCTGACCTCGCTCCATGTGACTTCTTTTTGTTTCGACGAATGAAGAGGGCCATGAAAGGACAGCAATTTGACCACATAGAAGAGTTGAAGGAAAAAACAAAAAACAAAACCGAGGGAACTGCTGTCAGCCATCCAAACCGATGACAGCTTGAAGAATGTTTCCAAGAATGGAATTGCAGATTTAACAAATATATTAAATGTAATGGAGAGTACTTTGAAGGTGATAAGGTTGTTTTGTAAAAAAAAAAAGTAAATACATAGCTTTGAAAAAGATTCTGGTGTTTTGGGGGGTACCTCCTTGTGTGTGTGTGTGTGTATAAATACTTTTACAAATAGTTATTGTTTACTACTAAAAATCTCAAGCTCAACTCCTAAAAGAAAGCATAACCTTACTAATAATCAGATACATAAACCATAAAATCACAAGTGGTTGTTACCTGATAATTAGGGTTATCAATCATTGGAGGTCTCCATATTCCTTTGAAATTGGGGTTATCTATCATGGGTGGCTTCCACTCGCCACATCCAACCCGACAGGCTGGGTTAGGAATTTGGGGTGCTTCCCATTCTCCATCCATGTCTTCATTCCTTAGGAAATGAGAACAAATCAAAACCGTGACCTTGAATCTCTCCTGTCAGACACATAAGGAAAGCCCAGTCAGGAATGTCTGAAACCAGCATTTAACGCTGAAGAGTATTTACCAGTCGGCAGGTTTTTCGGCATGAGGGTCTGGGACAAATTTGGGTTCATCATCAAGCCAGCCATCAGGCTTAGCAACACTGGCATCTTCTATCTGGGAAGGTTCACTCTCATCCCTGTCAACACAGGATTTGATGTTAGCCAGTAATTAAGTCCAAGAAATTAGCATATGAGTAGACTGTTTCTCTCACCACAAAGCAACTATGTTATTAGACAATAATGAAAGACGTAACAATACCCCACTTTGAAAATTAAAAAATATATATATGTGTGTGTGTGTGTATACATATATATACACACACATATATACATACATATATATATGAATGGATATGCGTGTCTATATATATATTATATATATACTTCCATTGGGTTGATTCCAACTCATAATGACCCTATATAGGATTTTCTGAGGCTTTTTATCTTTATGGGAATAGACAGCCACCACTTTCTCCCACCCAGCTTGGGGATTTGAACAGCTGACCTTGCAGTTAGCAGTCTACTACTATCTCAACAGCACCCCCAGGACTCCATATATACATATACACACATATACATATCATCACCTGAAAAAATGACCACGGAGTTGATTCTAACTCCTGGTGACCTACGTGTTACAGAGTAAGCCTGATTCATAGGGTTTGTGTTTGGGGCTGTAATATTTACAGAAACAGAGGACGGGAAAAGGAAGTTATACATACATAGGCTTTTTCAGATTGAAATACATGCATTGTTGGCAGGTTAAAGACTTGAGTGAATGCACAATATTTACATGAACAGTTATTATTGGGGATCCAGTACAACTTTCAATAACACTCATTGACAAAGGCAGACCCGTGCCTGGCAGACTAATACAGGTCATGAAAATGCAAAGGCCTTAAAATACAAAGTAGATGGCAGTCCTGGGCCACCTTTCCTTGAGAGCCCTCAAAGCAAGAGATCTGGACCAACGTCCAACAGCTCACAAGTCCCTACCCTCAGGATAGTCGCCGCCTGCTTCTTCTCACGTTACTGAAATCCACTACAGGTGAGTTTAAGGTAAAGTCGCGTGCACTCAGTGGGGTCCACATCGAATTGGAGAAGCATTCTCTTTAACATCACGAACATTCCAGAAAGTCTACCATCATAACTTTCACTAAACCCTTTACTGCAAGTGTTATCCAGAACAATGAAAAAAAGAAAAGCTAATGTACAATTAATGATGGAGCAGCAAGGAACAAAAATGTTATTATCCAGTGACATGACTCTCTACATAGGAAACATGACATGAGAATTTAGCAAGCTAAATATTTATAAACACTCTCTATAAAAACAACTCTTTCAGAGTCATGGCTGAAAGATACTACCTACCAAAGTAAACAAAAAAATGAATAAATGCATAAATGAAGTAGCTGCATCTAGATCTAAACTGTACAGGTTATCTGTGGGGGAAATTGTGACATCGTTTTTACAGCAACACATTCAAGACAGCTTCAATAAATTTAGATATGTGCTTCTAAATGGCATGATTCAGTATTTTTAAAAATATCACTTTCTCTCCGAGTGATCTAGGGATTGCATTTCTACAGAAAACCTGGAAAGACCCAGAAGACACATGGCCAGCTGTTAGGCTTGTATGTCGATGAACAATAACTGTAACTGTGCCTGGAAACTTCCTTGGGTCCCCGTTGTAATGAAAACTCTAGTTATGAAGGCGATACGAGGCAGGTCCAGACATAGGCAAACTGACAGAGGATACAGAGGAGGAGGCCCAGAAAGGGAGACCCAGATGTATGCAGAACTTGATGTCACCCAAGACATGTAGGTCACTGAGTTGGGAAGCAGCTATTCAGTGAGTGGTGGGGGCGGCGAGGAGGAGCCATCAAATTGGTTCCTACTCACAGTGACCAATACTACCCGGTTCTGCACCGTCCTCCCAATCGGTCCCGAGTCCGAGCCCATCGTCGCAGCCACTGCCAGTCCGTCTCGTTGAGGACCTTCCTCTTTTTTGCAGCCCCTCCACTTTTACTAAGCATGTGTCCTTCTCCTAGCTGGTCTCTCCTGGCAAAACATCCACAGCAAATAAGAGGAAGTCTTGTCATCCTGGTCTCTAAGGAGCACTCTGGCTGGACTTCCTCCAAGACAGGTTGGTTTGCCCTATTAGCAGTGCATGGGACCACAATTCAAATGCACCGGTTCTTCTACAGTTTTCGTTATTCAATGCCCACCTTTCACAAGCATATGAGGCAAAGGGAAATACCGTGGCTTGGGTCAGACACCCATCAGTCCTCAAAGGAACATCCTTGCTCTCCAGTACTCTAAAGAGGCTTTGTACAGCAGATTTACCCAAGGCGATGCATCTTTTGATACTTCACTGCTGCTTCCATGGGCACTGACTGCGGATCCAAGCGAAACAAAATCCCTGACAAGTTCATCCTTTTCTCTATGTGTCATGGTGTCCAGTTGTGAGGAACTGGGTCTTCTTTACATGGAGTCATAACCCTTGATCTTCATCACCAAGGGCTTCAAGTGCTCCCTGCTTTCAGCAGGCAAGGCGGAGTCATCGGCCTGCCCGTCGTTCACGCGCCTCCCTGCGGTCCTGAGGCTGCAGTTTTCACAGGGTCCAGGCTCTCTGACGATGCGCTCGGCGTACAGACGGAACAAGTATGGTGAGAGGGTACAACCCGGACACACGCACTTCCTGCTCTTTAAACCACACAGCATGCCCTTGTTCTGTTTGCACAACTGCCTCTTGATCCCTGTACAAGGTCGTCGTGAGAACAATGAACTGCTCTGGCACACTGAAGTACCGTAAGGGGTAGTGGGACCAATTAATGTCTGGGTGAGAACATAAAATCCCTTCTTCAACCACCGGCAATGATAGCTGCTAAGTAGGCTAAAATTTAGAAGAAGAAGAATATAGAGGTAAAACCTTTATGAGCCCACGGGAGCAAAGAATGTATTAAACAAAACATCCCAATTTGTTAGGACTCTTTTTCTCATCATAATATATTTGGGTTCTTTTTTTTTTTTAATTGTAGGTATAGAGATACTTTATAACTTTCACCTTTAAAATGATACAGCTCTACCTTGTTATCCAATCTTTTTGGTTTATAGGTTCTGAAAACAATACTCCAGCTAACGAGAGAACGGCCAAATCAGCTAGATATGCCTGCTTCTGAAGTTTTATTTTACATTCAACGATTTCCCTTATTAGCTCATTGGCTTTTCCTCTTTGGCTGATTCTGGTAGTCCCTCTGGGTTTGCAATATGCCTCTTTACCTGATTTTAATCTATTCAAATCACGTGGTAGCAGTGGGCTTGAGTTTTTGGTTTGGTTTCCTATCTCATTTCAAATATAAAAGTAGGTTTTGGAGGGAGTAGACAGGTGAAATCAAACTGGAAGCACCCGTATGACAATGTAGAATGTATATTTTATGACACTGGATAGAAGGTATTTCTTAAATAAGACATAAATGACCAAATAAAAAGAACGATGGACTTATTTGAAAGTAAAACTCACTGTTCAATAAACAAATACTACAGGATTATGATAAAAGTAAGACATTAGGAGATAATGTGTAACATAAATTGACTGCTAAAATTTCTCCAATTTGTAAAGAAAAAGGCCAAAGCTCCAATAGAAAAAAAATGGGTAGAAAAGGGGGTTACGATTGCTGGGAGAACTCTCAAAGGCTAATGATCACATTTTATGTCACCATTAAAGACACTGAAAATAGCAAGGAGTCGTCACCTCAGTCCGCCCAGGGGACAGGCAAACGGTATCGCTGGTGTGGAAAGGTAAACGTCAGAGAGCAGTCTGGCAACGTCTGGGGACGATGTGCATACAACACGAACAAGCCATTACAATCATATTCCAGCACTGTTTACAGCAGTGGAACGTGTGTGGCAGGAGGCATCCCTAAGCGTCTATCGTGAGAGAATGGATGGCTTTCCTGCAGTCACACAGCAGGACGAACCATCGGTAAGTATACATTAGCTCTGTCTACGTCCACATAAGGTGTACGCTGTGGTATGACCGACACGCACTTAACAGAACGGCTTTACGGAAACCCAGAGGAAGTGTGGAAAACACAGATTTGAAAAGGATATGAGGAACTGGTAAGGTTAGAAAGGGAACTTATTATTTGACCTTCAATGATTTACTTCCTCTATTAAAAGTATTCCCAAGTAAATCAGACAGTAGAACAAGGATCCATTTGCAGGTGGAAGGGGCACACTTTTGTCCTTTCACATTTCTCACTCACTAAATACATGAGAGGAAAGTGAGACGGACATTTCCACCGTGGTTCCAGTTAGTACACGCACAAGTTGATCCCTAACAAAGCGTGTGCAGGCATGTCTCGGCAACCCGAGGGCGGCTGCAGACAGGTCCGCCCAGGAATACGCTCGTCCCACTTTCCTTTGGGAGCCGCCAGGGAAAAGGGTCCCATTGAGAAACGGCGCTTCTGAAGGGGATCTGATGGGCCAATTTGATTCAAGCTTACAGGGTTTGGCAATTGTTTGAGGAGGAGGATGAATGGGAAATCTTGATAGAAATTCTTGGGTGACACCGAAGAGTCAGAAGGGCTTTTGAGGAAAAAGTTTTAAGAAAGTTGAAAACTTCAAACTACACCGGTAAGCAGGTTGAGAAGTTTGTACCAAGGATTTTTTCCCCCATCACGCCAATGCACCTGTTCATTCTTCAAGGGTAACAAAGACAGTCCGAATCGAAATTCTTACATCGGGAAGCCTTACCCATCCTCCCGACAGCCCTGGTGCTGCCTCTTCAGACTCCCTAAGTGCAAAGCCTATTTTAAGGGAACGCTATTTGAGGCCCCTGAGGATGTAATGCTAGTGTGTAGAATTCTCCAGGAAGGCTTAGCAAGAAGGAAACACCCCCTGCAGAAGTGTGCAGACCAAGATGGGGGGCAGCTCGAGAAGCACTCGCTCGCATTTTGACATGCTTTGTGTGATGCGTGTTTCTAGGCTTTGTTGCGATGCTCTCGGACGTCCTCCCATACGATCAGGAGAAGAAGAAGAAGAGAGAGGCAGGGGTCAGGGAGAGAAGACGAGAGGAAAGGAGCTAAACACTACTCAACAGCTGAGCCACTAAGCAGCATGCTTTAGGAATACCCAAGTATTCAGGGAGGAAACCGTACACATTCTCACAATAATTTCTCCTATAGAGTCATGAAAAAATTGGTACACAACAGAAAAATCTA